ATACTTGTGGATCAATTGTAATGTATAATTGAATATGAAGTTTGACAATTTATTAATGCTTTATAAATTTTGCCAAACAGAGGTACAGTTACTCTATTTTGAATAATTTGACCAATAAATTGTACTTTAAAAAAAAAAATTGACAAATAAAATTGTGCTCAAATACTGCATATATCTAACCACCATTATATTTTAACATGATTCTAAAGAATTAATAGCAGAAACTCCCTTAAAAACATTTCATGTGCAATATATCTCATACCTATTGAAAATCCCAGAAAATTCTCATATTTGAAACATTTTATATGAAATACTCCCTACTGTCAAGATCCGTCAAATTTTTCGTTAGAAATAGTAAAAAAAAAAAAGTCAAAACTAAAAAGAAATAGTTGCGGTTGCAGTGCCCAAACTTTTATTGTTTTGCAAATTACACCTAAATTTTTTTATACGTGTCATGCATAATCTCAAATCTTTAAAACTTTATTCTTTTCCACCCCACCCCACCCCACCTCACCTTCAACCATACCCATATTCAGGTGGATTATTCTGTAATTTGACAAGTTCAATCTTCTTGTGACCCAAGCAAGTAGCTAGGTATTTTAAATTGGTTCCCTAAACATTTTGCTCTTAACTTGAACAATTAGACAATTAAAAATTTGGAAAAAGTTGAGATTTTTACTATATAAAAGTACAGTATAATTGTGAGTAAGAAATATGGCTAGACAAAACTCTCGAAACGAATTGAAATGAATCGAGCGGTTCTTCATAAGTTAAATACCCGAACGAGTATTTGAATTGAGAACCGACGGGTTTGATTCGATTCTCGATTCTAGACCCAGAACCGAAGAAACGAATAAGAACTGAATTTAAATTTGATAGGAATGTAAAATGCATATTTTTCTCTCCTTATTTTATGTGTTCGTATGATTATTTTATACCAAAATGTACTTATTAATTTCATATTTTGATTTAGGTGGCAATTTGATAGATATAGAGTAATTTGGAAAAAATAAGTGGAAAAAGACCAAAATGAAAGAAAGCGAAAGTTCTGGGACTAAAGTACAAATAATCAAAAGTCATGTTGAACCTCACAATGAAGATTTGAGAGTGTTAGAAGTCAATTGAATGAAAAAAGAAGTCAAATGGGTGAAATATCGTTAAAGTAGGATCGCACATCAATTTCCAATCGAAAAGTTATGCATCGGATTTTCAGTCTCAATTTGAGACCCACTTTTGACATGACAAACGATCGAATTGGAAGATGATATTTGAAGCAAAGTTGTATCCCTTTAAGATATCTTTCCAACGCATTTTGAATCAGCTTAATCGAATACTTGTGGAGAAAGTTATGATCAAAATATCAAACACTGTTAAGAGACAAACTTGCGCACGGCATGAATTTTACTTACCGAGCCTAAAATCAATGAATAGCGCGCGGGCAAGGAAATGTACGGCATGTGCATAGGCATTTTTCACAAGCGAATCTTCAGTTTCCGAATTTAAGTCAACTACCTATGGAAACAACTATAAATACATATTTTAAAACCCTATAATGGGAGGAGAATGTACAGAACGCCTCCAAACTCCATTCTTCATTATTTTTCTCTTAGATTCATAAATTGTAACTAAACTTTTAAGCTTGATAGAAGGAAATCGAAGTCTCGGAATCACATATTGTGAGATCTAAATAGTTTTTCTTATTGTTTTATTTATATTTTGCGTATTGAATGTTCTTCTACATTTATTTCTATGATTTGTTGCGTTCAATTGCTAGAGGACCCGCTAGTTTATTGATTGTAACAATCTACCGCAAAGTTAAATATCAAATTTGTAATTGTTTGATCTCTTTAACTTGTGAAACACTAGGATTTGATAATTTTTTGCGATAGAGGTTATTGAATTTTAAGAAAAATGTTTAAATAGATTGAATGCAACCGCTGGTGTTTGTGTTATCTAGTTCATTGATTTCTCTATTGTGTAAAGCTCTTATTAAATTCAATCTTGAGCGCTGGTCTGAGGTTATTTAATAATTAGGGTTAATCAAAACACTGGTTTCTAATTAACTAAAATTAAGGAGAAATGAGAATCAATTTCAACGATGAATATTCAAAATATGAATTGAATTATTATTACATCTATGATCAATTGTGGATTTCCAACGGTGGATGTGGACTTAGAACAAGATTAGTCTTTTGATTATTTTCGTTAATTTAATTTTCATCATTATTGATTTGTTATTTACAATTATTTGCATACAAAAACCCCTCAATCATTATACGAAACATAAAACATTGAATTACACACTCTTCGTGGAATCGACCCTTACTTCCACTACTACATTAGTTTTAGAGGTTAAGATATTACTTTTGGTTGACTGCGATAGCACACACCAAAATAATTTTTTAAAATTTTTTATATTGAATTAATTAAATTTTTTCTAAACAAATTCGTAAATTAATTAATTTAGTGATTAATGTTTTAACTCCTAAACCAAGTCCATGCCTAACTAGCCAGCTCAACCCAATTTCGAAATTCAATTTTTTTAATCCAATTATTAATTTCATTTTTAACCCAAGATCTAGATCTTTGTAAGTTTTTATCATTTTTTTTTCTAATTTCACACTTTTATTCGGTAACTACTGAGTCACTGACCCCAAATCATTTGATAAATTGAAAACATACATCTACATGGCCAAATCGAAGCAGTCGACTGTAGAATCCGACTTCCCCTCTCCAACTGCCCATCGAATGCGCGACCTCCAACCACAATCACCGATCGTTGACCATTAGAAATCTGTTAAAAAATTTAATTATGTACGGAACTGAGCCGAACCTGAACGGCTCCATAATTATATTTGGACCCGACGATTCCATTTATTAAATACTCGAAAATTTTGGTCTAGCAATTGCCCAGCCCCTCACCGGCTGACTGTCCCTTCTTCCTCGCCTCCTTTTCTGCTATTAATCCTTAATGAAAACTAAAAGATTGATTAATGAGTGGAATTAATCAACGCACCAGTTTGGACTGATTCAGCTAGTTCTCTTGCTGATATATTTGAAGATATTGCAGGAGCTACAGCATAGAGAGACCCTACAAGAATTAAGCTCTTTGAGAGTGCCACTCTCTCTCTCTCTCTCTCTCTCTCTCTCTCTCTCTCTCTCATATAATTAGAGGAAATTGTGCCTCAAGGAAATAATTGCGGAGCAATCTTGCTTCCCATGGTGGTATGGATATGGTTGAAGGTGAGGGGAAAAAAATGAAGTGGGGTGGGTTAGAAAATATAGTTTTAAAGATTTGGGATTATAAGTGATACTTATAAAAAAGTTAGGTATAATTTGTAAAAAAATAAAGTTTGGGGGATTACACTGCAATTTTTTTTTTTTTGATATTTTTTTACTATTTTTAACGGCAAATCCGATAGATTTGATGGCATGAGCATTTCCCACAAAAGGTTTCAAACAGAGGGTTTCAATGATTTCCAATATATATGGAATATATCGTATATGAAAACGTTTTTAAGGAGTTTTTTGCAAAAAATCCTTATTCTAAACTATCACTAGATTCCATTACAAAGTAAAATGTTCCAATTAATATTTGGATTATGTTACTTGTGTGTGTGTAAAGAAAAAATTGGATGAAAAATTTGTCTATGTTTTAAACTGACAAATGGTAGAGTGTCATGTGATATTATGTAATCCCCTATGTAAACTTTTATATATATTTATCAAGATCCTTAATATTTTTTTCATAATTTAATATTCTTATTTGTAGAGAATAATTTCTTTAAGGTAAAATAAATGTTATTTTTAACTTGTTTTCAGTGTTGTCCATAAGAACATTTTTTTTTTTTGTTTTAGAGCATGTTGGCCTAAGTTTAAAAAGTTTTAAATAAATAAGTAGTTGACACCCTCTAATATGTTCACATTAGATATTTTTATCAAGATCTTGGACATGAAATTTTTTTTTTCCTTTAAAAGAGGTGAGGGTAGGAGTACTTGAATTTGTTAATTTGGAATTTTAACATGTTAACTTATTCATATTCCATAAAAATTGAGAGAAGGTATTGAATGAGTGTCACACACATATAATTGTAATCTTAGGGAGTACTCACCATCCTCATATAGTAGTTATTTCTTAGTGAGAAACAATACCAATGGATGTGACACTTGGCTGGCTGGCTGCCTTTCTTATATTTTGGTCTAGAATTTTACATGAGCTTCCTAGCTTTCTTATTTCTGTTTTTGTGGCTTTAATTCTACTTTGTGTTTCATTTTACTGTCTTGAACTCTTCTACATTCTTAGCTAGTTAGCAGAGCTGTCAACATTTTGGCCAAGACATATTTACAAAGAAATAGACTCAATTGTAGAGGAAAATTCTATTTCAATAATCTAAAAACAAAATATTTGAATTAAAAAAGGAAAGCAAAGAAGATCATTTGAGTAGATTATAAGTAAGTCTTAACTTATGAGTAATTTTTCATTGTAGACATTAATTTTGACCAATAAATTATACACAAATGCAACAACATTTCTTAAACTATGTTTTAGGAGAATAATATTCCAATTAATATTATATTCAAAATTCTCAAGTTGAAAACTTGTGCCTCAACAACCTTATGCACGCAGAGACGAATCCAGGATCGAATTACAAGTCGAGTTAATACGTAAAAGAAAAATTACACAAGAAATTTTTTTTTTTTTTGACATAAAACAAAAATCTACTAAAACAAATTCAGTGAGCTGGGGACTGGGTCGGGCAGTCCCCCCGATTCGTCCCTGCATGCACGTGAATATATACGCGATACTATTTTCTATTTAAACATGTAGCTTTCAAGCTTACTCGCAAGATTTGTATAAAAAATATTTATATTCGATAATAATAGCAATAATTTTTATAATCAAACAACATTTGTTAAAACCAGAAAGGGATAGAGTCTCGTACAGAACATAATAACATGATCATAGACTCGGTTCTCTCTCCATTTCTATGATGTGAGAGATGGCATACTCCGTGGCTGGTCCAGTTTTGCTTCGTCTGCTCAAAGATTCAAGAAGAGGCTTGTTTATTTTCTTGGCTTTTGGGACCTCGTTATTCATTTTCTTTTCCATATCTTCTACCTTGAAACTTCATAATGTTCCGGGGAAAACCCGGCTTCGTGTGAATCCACCTCTCGAGTTTTCGATACTTAATCCAGAACCTGTGCATACACCAGTGGTTGAAAGAGTTTCACTCAAGGAACAGACAAACGGTTCGGCTCTTGACGATTTTAAGGAACCAGAAGAAGTTAGTAAACCAGTGGGAAATATGAGCAAGGGTAATGTCGATGATTTTCAGTGGCCTAATGAAATACCGAAAGTCTGGTCGAGCGGTAAGAGTTCTTCATTTCCATTTTCACTATCATGTTTCTTCACTTCCGTTAATATTTTAGCGTTTTCAAGACTAAAGAGTCGAGCGGAAAGGCGAGAAAACTCTAGCACGTTGAGAGGCAGCATAGAAAATTTTGTGTTTTGCATAAGAAATTAAGTGAATTTTGAATGTTCCACTTGTTGAATGTGAGAACTTCTAGAGCAAGTAATTTCCATGTCAGTAGCAATGGAGTTGAAACAAATGTGTGTAGTCGTAATATAAGTCAAAACAGGTGGCTACTAATGTTTCAATGTTGAATCGGCCACTAATTAAATAAAGATTATTGCAGTAAATGTTTGGCTAGTCGTTAATTCTAAAACTCAATTATCCGCTAATTTTTGTCTTATGTAAAGAAATAATATCTATTCATTTTTATTATTATTATATCAAATATTCATTGTAGATCAATAAATCAATTCTTCTTCCAAAAAATCCCTACCAAACACACACTAAATAAAGATTATTGCAGTAAATGTTTGGCTAGTCGTTAATTCTAAAACTCAATTATCCGCTAATTTTTGTCTTATGTAAAGAAATAATATCTATTCATTTTTATTATTATTATATCAAATATTCATTGTAGATCAATAATTGCATTGTCCGTATGCTTCATTTTTTAAAATTTATTTTTCTCCATACTTATTTTTAATTACACGTACTCCCAATAAAATAATTTTATGCGTAAGTAAAAAAATCTTCTCTACTTTTTAACCACACATTCTATATAAAATTCACATTTTTACAAAATCTATTTTCAAAAAATGGGCTGAACTAAGTGATCACGAGCAAATTGGTACATAGTAGTTGCAGACAATGAGGAGTGTTACGGGTCTGTGTCAGACCCGCCACCTCACCCTCCACGTGTCATCAGAGGTGTCCCACACCAAGCCACGCGTCGGACGAGGTGATTACTCAGGGAACGAGCTGGCTGCATATGCCTAAGTGATCCCAAAGGAACGAACTAAATAGGTGTCAGCAAACGAACCGTACACATTCACAAGTAGATCACGGATGCAAAGGCTTGCACTCCGCTTCTACAACACTGCAACGCCTCTCCTGCCTTGCTTCGTCTTAGCGAAGATCTCTTGTATAAAGATATTTTCAAAGTCAAATCAATGACTGATGTGACGTGTGGCAGGATTCAAACGGTCAAATCAACTGCTTCTGTCAGAAATATTCAATACCAGCCAACCTACGGATGGACGGATTGACACTTAGGATGGGACGAGCCCTGAGATCTGACAACACGTGTCTCCTCATCCAACAGCTCTCTTCCCCTCATCCTTAGTATAAATATCCACTCCTTGTGTTTGAAGAAAGATTGGAATCTAACACACTCAAAACTACCACTACATTGCGAAATTAAATATTCCCTTCCATTGAATATTAACATTTTTCGATAGACACTTTGTCAACCACTTCCCGAAGAGTGTTCCACCGCCGATGAACTCTTCTTCTATTGAACTTTAAACTAACTTGACATTCGGAGTGTTTGCGGCCGCTCCCAACCTCTCCGGGAAAGGCCACGAGTGACTAACGACGTGCCACGTGTGCAGGACAAGTTGACTCAAAGACATTTTTTGTTGGCCACGTGTCGAGCCATTTTTCGAGGTCAACAAGAAAAACCACGTGTTAGTGAAATTAGCCATTAGCTCATCTCTCTTTACTCGACAGTGAACTCATGATCGATCTTGATAGCTCGTAGAGAGCATTTCTACTTTTAAATGAGCCCCCTTGTTTATTATGCGTTTGTCACATAGCTAGGATACGAGCATTCCACTGGAATTATTATTTACGTAAAACATAACTTTTCTTTTCGGGAAATAGAGAGAGTAAAAACGAGGTATTCCATGACAGAACTCTCTTTGAGCAAGAATACAAGGAGATGAACAAAAGCTTAAAAATATACGTATATCCTCACACAAAAATTGATCCCTTTGCAAATATTCTTCTACCAGTGGACTATGAACCTAGTGGCAACTATGCAAGTGAAAGTTATTTCAAGAAATCTTTATTCAAAAGCCATTTCATAACAAATGATCCTTCAAAAACAGACATTTTCTACATGCCATTTTCAATAGCAGGATTGAGACATGACAAGAGAGTTGGTGTTAGAGGGATTAAGAAATTCATCAAAAACTATGTTGACAACATTAGTGTTAAGTATCCTTATTGGAATCGAAGTGGGGGCGCAGATCATTTTTATGTAGCTTGTCATTCTGTGGGGAGAACAGCCATGGAAGAAGCAGTCGAAGTGAAACTGAATGCAATACAAGTTTGTTCTTCGAGTTATTTTCTTGCGGGGTATGTTGCTCATAAAGATGCATCCATTCCACAGATTTGGCGAAGGAAAGGAGAACCCCCAATTCGTGCACCATCTTAAAGGTGACAATTTCCTCTTTGAAGTTGCATAGAGATTTCTAAAAGGCTAATATTTCAATTCTATAATAGAAACTTTTTGGAAATCCTCGAAAATGCTTCAAAAACTTGGAAAATGGTTACTTTTTTTAAAAAAAGAAAAACTTTATCATGAAAATTGAGAACTTTCATTAGAAATGACAATTATTGTGGGCTTAAACTAAGAATATACTTAACCCTTGTTTGATCCCCATTATTTTCAAAATAATTTTTTTATTTCTTATTTTCAACCACACAGTTTTAAATAAAATAATATTACATGTAAATCTAAATTTTTTTCTTATTTTTTAATCAATTATTCTCTATCAAAATATTATTCCAAAATGCATTTTGAGACTCAAACAAGCTCTTAATAATGAAATTTTACTTTTCCATACTATAATTAACAATTAAATAGAATTTCCTGCCAAACTAATAAGGAAAAAAAAATTACTTGGCAATTGATAATCTATAAGGTACATAATTGGCAAAAACTCTAATTTTTGAGCCCCAATTCTCACTCACTCTATCATTTGTCAAAATAGAAAATTATGTATTTAATAAAAATTAATTATTTTAATTATAGAATATTGAGTTGTTTTATTGTAGTAAATATAAATTTTTATGAAATGCTTGGCGTGCATCTCTAATACCAAAGTCAATAGCCGCGGATTCTAATTCAATTGTGACAACTCCCTAAGGGAGGAGTGCAAAAGTAAGTTATCCATAAAAAAGATTTGTTTAAGCAAATTCATATTTTTATCCAAATTGTTTTTCTTTTTATCTAACTCACTTCCTTTTTTCTGTGCGAGTTTTGAGAATATCCCCCCATTCATAGGTCTTAACATCTACATCTATGAATTGTTCTTTACCTCGAGTCCTACATTTTTCAGAAATAACCTTTTTTAAGGTGTCATACGGAGTTTAGCTTATCATCCAACAAATCCCTGTTATACATATCCATTTTCCCCCATAAAGTTTGGCATCACTGACTATCCTACGTAGCTGTAGGAAAAAGCTAGCCTTCTATGCCGGAGCAATGAACTCTCGTGTTCGACAGTTTCTCGTTAACATTTGGAAAAACGACTCCGACATGTCCATCCATCATACTCGCCTGAAAACGCCATATTCAGAAGCGCTTTTAGGTAGCCAATATTGCATCCACGCCAAAGGATTCGAAAATAGGGTTGGAAGAGTACTTGAAGTTGCAGAATAATGTAATGAAAGTGCAGAAGCATTTTCAGTGGCATAATTTTCCCGTTGATTTCGATGCCTTTCATATGGTTATGTATGAGTTGTGGCTTAGAAGAAGTCATGTTAGAATCCCATTTGGTTCTTAATTTGTATGGTTCAAGAAATGTACATTGCGTGTATATGTACGTACGTACGTATGTACGTGTATTCACTTTTTAGTAATGAAATGTACATAGGAGAATGTTGGAACAATTAGGGTATGTTCTATTTACCATTTTCAAGTCGTTTTCTATTTTCGATTTTCCAAAATAGTGAAAACGCGTTCTCTTTCTTATTTTGGAAAACACATTTTTGAAAACAAGTTAAAAATTTACAAAGAAAACTCGTTTTTGGTGTTTTCAATTATAATTAAATCAAAATTTTCAAAACGCATTTTAAATGTTTTCAAAACAATTTTTCAAAATGTTAAAAAGAACATATTTTCAACAATTTCAAAATGGACATTCAAAACACAAAACTCAAAATGAATTCAAAATTCAAAACACAAAATTGAAACATAAAGACAACAACCCCTTAGTGTCTTGGGTTGGATACCATTTATAAATTGATTTTTAAATTCAGCTGATATCAAATATTAATTTTAATCATACACACAACTATTACTCATTACTATCCACACAATTCGTTGACCCATTATTATTTTTCTTTATAAATTAATTTATAAAATTGTCAAACAGAGACTAAATCCATATAAATTTTAACGAATTTAAAATTGTAAGAGGCGTCTATTTGGGCTCCATTAAAAGCAAAAATGTATTTTCATTCCATCAATATATTTGGGCTCAGGGGCGAATCCAGCCATAAAGTTCAGCACGGGTGGGCGACGATCATTAACTGTTGACCCCAACGACAAGAATGACGATATTTATTGTTAATTTTTAATTAAATAATATTAAAAATTGTTCGATTAATATATAAATATACTCAAACGTAGAAATAATATAATATGAAAATATAATCAAATACAACCCAAAATAAAAAAGAAAAATAAATAATACAACTTCACTTCGTAACTGTACACTCAGATAATTGGAATTTCTGTTGTCTCATATTTTGAAAGCGCTGCAAGATTGTCTCATTATCAATTTTTTTAAAAACTTCTTGTTCAATTTACACTATCAAATTGTCATTCAACCGTCATCCTTCATTTTGTTGCACAACTCACTCTTGATTAGATTCATAATAGAGAATGACATTTCAACATTTGCACTTGTCACTTGTAGTTTCAATTTCATATTTTCAACACCAATTTATCACAAATCACAAATTTCTAAATTCTCCAATGAACAAATTCCCCAATTTTTCAATTTACAAATTCCTCTATTAACNGAGGCGTCTATTTGGGCTCCATTAAAAGCAAAAATGTATTTTCATTCCATCAATATATTTGGGCTCAGGGGCGAATCCAGCCATAAAGTTCAGCACGGGTGGGCGACGATCATTAACTGTTGACCCCAACGACAAGAATGACGATATTTATTGTTAATTTTTAATTAAATAATATTAAAAATTGTTCGATTAATATATAAATATACTCAAACGTAGAAATAATATAATATGAAAATATAATCAAATACAACCCAAAATAAAAAAGAAAAATAAATAATACAACTTCACTTCGTAACTGTACACTCAGATAATTGGAATTTCCGTTGTCTCATATTTTGAAAGCGCTGCAAGATTGTCTCATTATCAATTTTTTTAAAAACTTCTTGTTCAATTTATACTATCAAATTGTCATTCAACCAGTCATCCTTCATTTTGTTGCACAAGTCACTCTTGATTAGATTCATAATAGAGAATGACATTTCAACATTTGCACTTGTCACTTGTAGTTTCGATTTCATATTTTCAACACCAATTTATCACAAATCACAAATTTCTAAATTCTCCAATGAACAAATTCCCCAATTTTTCAATTTACAAATTCCTCTATTAACAAAATTTCAAATCCCTAAATTTACCAATCAACAAATTCATAATTTCCCTAATTCAAAAATTCACAAAATTAAATATATTAAACATATAAAATTCTGCTAGAAAAAAAGTAGTGTTTACCAAATGACATTATGGTCAAGTTTTTATACTTCAAATGAAAGATCCTGAGTTCAAATATTTACAATTACATTAAATTGAGTCCAACCTAACATATATTAATTTGCTAAATTTAGTGTCAATCTTAAGAAGTGTCATAATGGTTAAGCCTTCACTAACCTAGCACGAGGTCACAAAGTTTGGATCTCATCCAGCCCCTTCCTATTGCATTAATTTTAGTAAAAATAGTAGAACTAAAAATATTTTTCAAACAAGTAGGTTGGTGGAAGGGATTCGAACCGGGGACCTACAACGTAAAAATGCAACATCTTACCAACTAAGATACAAAGTATGTTTGAAGAAAAAACAAATGAATTCCAATAATATAAGCTTAAAAGTTTATCTATTGTAAAAAAAAATAAAAAATTGATTCGATAAATCTAGTACAGACGGTCGCGGAGGCTGGCCAGGTGCTGGATCCTCCCCTGTTTGGGCTGCATTAAAAGCAAAAAATGGAATTTGTTGGAAAGTGGTGAGCAACACTGGACTATGTTGGCTTATGGAGAATTACATGGCAATTCAAAAATTAGTGAATTCCAATTTCACCCTTGCAGTAAATTATTCCCATGAATTGGCTTGTTGATTTCTTCTGAAATTTTGGAAAAAAAAAAAAAACCAAGGGTCACTTTGACTAACTGGGTTTTAAATGGCACCAGTGATATTTTCCATCTCCTGACAAATGTGCCGTGCAAGATGAATTTTTTAACATTGAGGAAGTGTTCGGTAGATATTAAAATTGAAAAAATAATCGTTATTGTTGATTTTTATTAGACGGATGAGACTCAATAATAAGTATATTTTCAATTTTAATTGGATTTTAAATATGACCAAACACGCCCTAAAATTAATGTTGTAATTTATTTAGGAGCTGGTTCTGTCGAGGTTAAAGAATTTTTATGTTAATTAGTAATCTTCCTTATTATCTACAAGTAAGACTATATGTGTGTGTAACACTTCTGATAGACTTATGAAACTTTTCGAAGTAAAATTATTTTTTCTAAAATAAAATAAGAGGTAGAAAATATTTCATTTGAAAATTTCCATTTTTTTCGAGTTCCTCTAGAATGGGTTAAAAAAAAAAGAGGGTCGTTTTGAGGGGAACTAAAAGGAAGTTTCATTATTTGTGCAATTTTTCCTTCAATTTACTCACTGATTTTCCTAGATTAAAATCTATATTTTTATTTTAATTATTTTTAATTACGTATTTTATAAGATTCATAATTTTGCAATTATATATTTTATCAACTTTTATAAAAATTTATTTAAAATTTTAATTTTAATTTTAATCTTCATTAAACATGGAATATAAGTCATTGTTTGATGATCATAGTTGTGTAAAAATAATATTTTGAATATTGAACTTTTGGAGTATGCTTGGTTAAAATGTGAGAAAAATTTTGAATTCTTTAATTTTAAAGAGAGCCATCCATAAAAAAATTACTTATTTTATAAAAAAATAAAAATAAAAAGTAACATTCGCGTGTCTCTCGTCCTCTCTCCCAGCTTCTGGAGAAGTCTAGAGATACAACAACGCACCAACAAACAACTCTAGATTTCTACTTAAATCCCATAGCTCCAATAATCATCCATTCGTTTTGCTTCAGGTGCGGAATCAGTAGAGCACTAACACTGTTTTAGGGTTTTCTCTCAATCATAATAATTCCTCTAGATTTGGGGATTGTTTGCGGTTCAATAACTTTGGTTGGAAAATTATCATGGACGGTTATTTCCGGTTGAATATGAAGAGGAAGGAACTCGAAGACGTCAATAATGAATTCTCCGATTTCTCCCTTTCGTCTCCCGCTAGAAAGACACGTCGACTGGTAATAATTATTTTTTCTTTTAATTTCTGAATTCTTGTTAAATTATTGTCTGCTTATTCGGTTTTTATAGTTTCGCTTAGTAAATTAAGTAATTAACTGTTGGTAATTTGTACACTGGGTGGTGTTTGTATCTAGGATGTTGATTTATTGCCGGTGATAGAGGAGGAGGATTCCGAAATTCCGATGTCATTTGAGCAATCAGTACCGGGACAGAGCTTAGTAGGGAATGCGGAGGGTCTGACTATTGAAGAATTGCCCGGCGTACCGGAGAATCAAGAGAGGTCTATTGTGCTTTACAATCCAACGAACATGCCTCTCCTGCAGTCCCCTTCAAATTTCTCGATTTCGGTGAATCCGGACCTGATTTCGGGGTTGAAAAGTAATTTTTACTTCCTTGTTTATTGAGTTTACGTTTGGCTGCTTGCACTGGAAAATCATCTTGTTAGGATTTATGAACAGGACTGCTCTATTCGAGTGTTTAAATTTGTGGAAAATTAGGACATGATTCATGAATGAAGTCCTGGAAAACGAATTAATCTGATATAGGCTCACTGTATTCACAGGGAGGGCAGTACAGTTGGGGAAATAATGTTGATCTGATTATAATGCTGTTAGGAGAGTTTGGTTTCTGTTTTTAATTTAAATAGTGCTTTGTTCAATTTAGCACAAATATGGCTAAACCTAGGTCTGGTGTTGATGTTTACTATTAGTATGCTGAGACACAGGAAACACATCCGTGAATTAGTTGGAAAAGACAACTTTTACTTTCCATTTTCTTCAGTTTTGCATTGGCAATTGGTTTTCTTGTAAACGTTCCGAAGTGCAGAACGATTTAATAATGGGTAACATAGTTAATTGCTTTTATGTCTGAACATAGCGAACTTTCACTGTTCCGATGATAGAATAGTAGGCTGAGATTTGGGGGGAAGAATGTTGGTTTTGTGGTATCCTAATGGGACATGGTGTGGCTTAACTGCCTCAGTAACGCTTTACCATTTAGGTCTTATAATAATCTCCTTTAGTTGTTGCTTTGGTACAATGGGGGTCGCATAATCTAATTTTGTGTGTTTTGTCATCAATGATGAAGCCAAATTGGAGTTGATATTTTTTATCTCATGGGTTTCATTTCTGAGTAAAAGTTTCGAAAAAAACAAATAACCAGTTTGTGTATTCTGTGTAGATCAAATTTTGTGGTCTAGCCAATCAAACAATTGGAGATCAGAGAACAATGAGGCTGTGATAGAGGATAAGAATTCCAGTGCAACTAACAATTCTCTGGCTGTTGTACCGTGGGTGGCATCGCAGCATCATTCTGCACCAGGTGTTGAGGTTCCTCCTCAAGCGGATATTACTGGAATGATGGATGATGAAGTAGGGGAGGAAACAATGGATATTGAAGCTGACAACAATGACGTGATTGGTTTTGAGCAAAGGAATGTAAATGACTCTAGTGGGATGAGTTTAAGTGACGGTTTACATCACTGGCAACAGCAGCCATGCATGATTCCACAGCCTCCCCAGAACACGGTGACTCCAGTTGTTTGGTACCGATGATTGGCTGAATTAGTTTGGATCTTGTAATTACGCCACGATGAGATTCTTGTTATGTGAATGCCTCTCCTTTCGAGACGCATAGAGAAGATGTATTAGTAATGTTAAATTGTACATCAGATGGAACGTTAACCGCCTATGTTTCAGGGCATGGAAACTGTTCTTTGCCTAAGATCCTAGTTTCCAATCAAAGTAAAATGCTGTGATCCTCTTAAAATAGAGATTCGTGAAGTAATCGCCGTGCCCAGAACTTATGTTACGTGATATGTTATCAAATTTGTTCATTTTAACCTTCTGGACGTTTCAAGATGTTGGATGTTGCTTCTTTTATTTTTTTCCGAGAACTTTTCCAAGTGTGGAAAT